GCACAAAACTTCACATTCAATTAATTGATAATTTGACTCGAATCGTAATTTACCGATAATCGTCGATTAGCAATGCCATTTGGGTTTATTACAGGTACGATCAAACGTAGATTACCGTTTAATAACATATACATATGATGTTGTGTAAACCAAAATTTTATTTATTGTAAAGAAAAAAGGCTGCAGTGAAGTAAAAACACATTATAGCTGCATTACCATCAGTTATATCAGAGAATTTTTACATCGCGATGACCGTGAGGGCATTCCGATGTGATGTTGCCGACGAGATTTCTACTTGCGTAACTTTCGTGTTTGACTGGTAACCGATCTATTTTAATACGCGGACATTATCGAGTGCAAAATAGCATTCCTTATCGCTTGTTATAAATTCATTTCTTAAATGAATACTCATAAAATATTTTTGTTTAGAACATAAATTAATAATATGAAAATGTTTTGTCGTTAGAAATATATATATATATATAAGTAAAAAATCATTGATAATATCTATGCACACGTACAGAAAAATTGTGTTAACGCATGCGGAAGAATATCTCAAGAACGTTTTGCGGGAAAATATGAATGCCTGCTCAAATCCAATCTATTAGAAAAATCTTATTATTACAGAAGAGTGTCCACCATGCACTTGCACTGCACTATTATTAGAATAGTAAAATAGAATGATATACAAATGGATGAAAATTATATTTTATACATGTAACTGTTATATACAAACATTAATATAATATATAACACCAAACCAGAGTATACTGATTTGTATCACTACAATATAATAGTTATTACGGTGACGTTGAATTCCCTGTCATTTATTCATTATCCACGCACGAACTTGTCTCAGAGAAAAATATATCTTTGTACATTAACCTCACTTTCAGGTATACAGATGTGATTTTTTTTCTGAGACAAGTGCTTGTGACCATCCACAAGAACTTGCGGTCATCCGATGTTCAGTACTTCAGTACTTTGATTTACATCCGCTACGACGATTTATGCCCAGACAAAATGCCCCAGCGGATTTTATTACTGATAATATGTCGCATTTCTCGTTAGTTATTTGGTATATGTGCAAAACAAAACACGCTTGAAGTCTCTAAAGGAAAAAATTACAACGGTTCGTTGTACTTTTTATTATAAATTTGTACTTCTGATATTAATTTTGACAGTGTCTGTAACTTGTTTGGATTATTAGAAAAATCATGTAAGATTGACTTGTCACTTATTATCCAGAAAAATAAGATAAATAAAGACAACAGTAGTATACCGCTGTTCGAAATTCATAAATCGATTGAGAAAAAAGCAAACTTAAACTGAGGGAAACACATCACATATAAGAGGAGAACTACGACACAACAGAAACACAACATTAAAATGTAGCACACACAGAAACGAACTATAATATAACAATGGCCATTTTCCTGACTTGGTACAGGACATTTTAAGAAAAAAATGGTGGGTTGAACCTGGTTTTGTGGCTAGCCAATGAACGACTTGTTGTAGCAATTATTGTCAACAGCTTGTTTTAAAATGCAGAAAAGACTTATATCATACACCTAACATCAATTCTTATTGAAGCCATATACAAGAGAGGAGCAAAGTGGTTTTTGGTGGGGTTCGTGAAGCTCGGTCTTTAGTTTTCTATGTTGTGTTTTGTATACTGTTGTAAGTATTTAGTTTTCTATGTTGTGTTTTGTATACTGTTTGTCTTTAGTTCGTTTTTCATCTATTGCCATGGCGCTGTCAGTGTTTTCGACTTATGAGTTTAAATGTCCCTTTGGTATCTTTCGCATCTCTTTTAATCGTATCATTCACTGTTCTCACCGCCGTCATTTAAGCATTGCTTGGCTTGGAAACGTTTAAACCAGGAATAATTTCGAGATATGTTCTATTTATATATAAAATTTCATTATGAAATTGTTCATACAATATGACGGGTCATTTCGAAAATGGCAGCAATGGATAATTCTTGACACTGGGAATCGATTCAAAATGACATATAAATTGTAACACAAAAAGATTTTTTTCAAGTTTTGTTATACAAACTCAGTTTTTACCGGAATTTGGACACTGATAATCAATTAATAATAGTATAATACACTTAGTTTAATTACGATCAAATCCTAGAAAAGAAAAAGTTTCTTCAAATTTGTGATTTGTTTTTTCAATACAGTAACTATTTCTAAACAGAAATTCTACTCTGGGAATCAATACGGATTTCATAATACACCTAAATATAAATTGTTGTTGAAATTCTAGCTCATAAAGATAAAGTTCATAATTTGTTAATTTAAAAAAAAAACTGAGTTTTTTCAACAGTTTCACAAGCCACAAATTTGGAATCCCCGGAGATTACGCTTGATTCCAATCGTTGTCTTTCCGTCAAGTGTTTTTTATCTGACGTTATTTGACGTCATTTGTGCGTTTGTTGGGCATAAAATCTACGTCAGTACGCAACTTCCGAAGCAAGGTTGTCGGCTCTCCGGACTTTCCAGAAGTCCTGCGTTTGATTGCCGAGTTTATGAGCTTCAGTCCTTGCTTGGAAGTTGGTCAGTACGTTGAGGTAAGGGATGAATATTCTAATGGGATGACTTCCTTATGATTGCTCTGATAACTGTTTTAAAATGACAAAATTAATATATTTTTTGGCAGGGTTAGATTATGTACGTAAGAATAAAGACGGGTGTTTGAAAAATTTCAAGCAGTCACAATTACTTCATAAGTTCAAAGATGCAGGGGTCCATTTAGCCCATAAAACGTTTAAATAACGTGAGAAATCAGCGTATAGTAAAAGAGTATATCTGGTTATGGAAATGATATGGATCAAATCATTTTCCATTGAAATTCTAGCTAAAAAAAGATATTTATCAAATTTGTGAAATGTTGAAGAGCAATCTGCCTTTTGTAGTTTTGTAAAAACGGTGATATTTTAAACACTGATTTTTTTAAGATACTGTTCATAATGTTGACCGATTTTGACAGACAGTTTAATTTTTTTCAAAATTTGTACTTATAATTCAATTAGTTAGATTATCTATTGACCTTGTATGTGTCTTCTCGATAAAATTTACTTCACGATCCCATACCAGACTTTTCAAGATCGTATCGCAATACTTGACCACCGTTACTTATTCTTTCGCGATCATTTTTCTCGATATACCGAATGACAACCGTGCTTTGGGAATTGCGCATACCTTATGAATGCTATTTGAGTCAAACTCCAAGTACCTCGACAATCGCATCATTTTAATTAGACATGATGCACTAACAGGATTTGCCGGTTGCATCTTTCTTAGACGAAGTTGACCTCAGACGATATGGTGTTTTTAGTAAACCCTATTACCAGTGAGATAAAATAACCAACTGATTATTTGAATGATGCAATAGTTAAAACAATTATTTAGAATATACAAACTTAGTGGATTTAATCATAAAAGTATTAGAACAAAATCGCACTAATTCTGGCTAAAATTTCCAATAAATATAAAGCATATTGCACATACGTATGCTACTAAATTTCTAGGAAGAAACAAAATTCAAACCAAATCTCGATTTACATTTATATATTAATTTGCGAATATACACATGTAACATATGTATTTAAGGAGATGAATTTACTTTTAATATATAAAATGTGGAAAATTGACAAATTAAATGTAATCATTTTCTTATGAAATACAAGTATGTGAAATAAATCCGTTGTAATTGCCAAAATATCAACAACAACCATACCAAGTATGAAAAACTAAAAAAGCAAACTAAAAAGAACTAAAAGAGAAAACAGGGAATCGAACTTAAAGGTACACATCTTTACTCCCAACGTTAACTCTACAATTTATGTTGGCTGGCTTGATGAAAACCACTTTTTTCCTTCTATAAATACAACGTATAGAATCTTTAGAAGTGCCAAAACTTAAAGAATTATATATTGATATATCTATATAAACTAAACACTTTATTTTCAACTAATGATTTTGGATTTTCGTCGTTGTGCTTCATATCAGTAGCACATTACAGACTTCAAGGAGGGACTTCCGAATGACGGCAAATAAAAATTGCAAAAGGTAACTTTTTAAACTTATTTCATTATATTACAAAAATCAGTTGATTAGTGCATCCAAACTTAACTCGAACAAAGTGAACAATTGAACTCCTTTAGAGTGACTTCTTGAGAAGCGTTGATTCTTGAAAAAGAAACAACGATTAACAAATAGCCCGACTTCACATCAATAGTTTAAACGTTTATAAGATTGTTTTACCATTATTCTTGTATTGCATTCAAATATGGAGTACATAATACTGTAAATAATCGGAATACAACATAATCAATCAAAGGTAAAAAACAAACAACTCAAAAATGTAAACAAATCTATAAATATTAATTAAGTTTGTTTTCAAATTAAAAGCATTACACCTTTTTTGTGCTCTGTCGAAATCTAGACGGAGTTCATACCTTTCGCTAATATATCTTTCTCTCCCCCATCTCTCACTCTCTCCCTATTTCTCTTGATTAATTGACTGATTGATTTGAGTTGATGAATCAGCAAATGTCAAATTGGCCTTTTACACAGCCTTCACCATGTGACATTCAAACTGCTCAATAATTGATTAGACAAAAGAGGAATTTGAAGTTTTGTACATTTTATGCAAGGGTTGCTTGTAATTTCTTTAACGCACATCTTAATTGCTACATTTCAGTTTTAAACTCAGTCAGTGTAACCACAGGAAAGTAAGAAAAACAGAAGGGAAAGATATTTTAATCAGTTTAATGAAGACGGGTGCAAGACTTCATATTTTATCAAACTTTATCCATACAGATAAATGCAAAGGAAACGGTATAAAACCTTTTTTAACATTTCTTCGGAATGACTTACATCATTCAAAAAAGTGTACTAACTTGTCTTTGTATTGTACTCTTAACATCGCTGTGTCTTCTAGCCTATAAATAATGCTGATGTCAAATCAATATAATAAATCCAGCTTACCTTGTACTACCCACATGATGAGGGGAAGACAGCGTTGACATTCGCCTGAAAGATTGAAAGAAAACAGTGATGATGCAAGATCCATAACTCATGTTCAAAATTTAAACCTAATCTTGTTTCTTACAGGTTTTACAACATCTGTGACAGAAATCTATTGATTTCATATCACAAAAGGCGACAAACTTACTTAAAGTAATTAATCGAACTAATCAAATGACTTACATGTGCGGAAACACGTCTACATCCAACATATTGTGATGTTATTTGTAAGCTTGTAACCCAGGAATAACAACTCTAAAGTAAATTTCTTACTCCATTATCGGGATTGGATTATATCCCTTTTATTATAAACATTTCAGCGGAGGAAATTTCCACGGATATAAATGCTTTAATATCTAAAAAAATAAATATATTTTCTTAAAACCTTATTACATCAGCTTACTACAAGCTTTCATTCGTGTTTAAGATATCGATTCTTGTAATTTGTATATTGGTTATAATTTATGTTCTTTTTGTAGATACCTTAACTAATTGCAATAAAACATAATTGGGTCTTTTTATTATGTTTTCTGAGACAGAATCTGAAAACCCTGTTATCTATTATATATTTATTCATCTGTATTAATTATTGTTTTGGAAAAAAAGCAACATCGCTATAGCAGTAAATTCAACAACTTCATTGTATCAGTAGATTTTCAATGTTTTACATGCGCTAAATTGGTGTGTAAGGCGCTCAGGAAAACAAGGAAGAGTATATCAATAATTACATTACATAGAAGTTTCTCTTTAATTTGGTATGCAAGGCGCTCATGAAAACAAGGAAGCGTATATCAATAATTACATTACATAGAAGTTTCTCTTTAATTTGGTATGTAAGGCGCTCATGAAAACAAGGAAGAGTATATCAATAATTAAATTATATAGATGTTTTGCTTCGATTTTGGTATATAAGGCGCTCAGGAAAACAAGGAAGAGTATATCAATAATTACATTACATAGATGTTTCTCTTTAATTTGGTATGTAAGGCGCTCAAGAAAACAAGGAATGGTATATATCAATAATTAAATTGCATAGATGTTTCTCTTCAATTTGGTATATAAGGCGCACAGGGAAACAAGGAACAGTCTATCAATAATTAAATTACATAGATGTTTCTCTTCAATTTGATATATAAGGCGCTTAGGAAAACAAGGAAACGTATATCAATAATCACATTACATAGATGTTTCTCTTTAATTTGGTATGTATGGCGTCAGAAAAACAGGAAAGAGCATATCAATAATTACTTTTCATAGATGTGTATCTTTAATTTGGTTTGTAAGGCGCTTAGGAACACAAGGAAGAGTATATCAATAACTACTGTACTTAGATGTCTCTCTTTAATTTGGTATATAAGGCGCTTAGGAAAACAAGGAAGAGCATATCAATAATTATACATAGATGTTTCTCTTTAATTTGGTATGTAAGGAAAACAAGGAACAGTATATCAATAATTACATTATTAGATTAAGAGAAACATCTACGTAATGTAAGTATTGATATACTCTTCCTTGTTTTCCTAAGTGCCTTATATACCAAATTAAAGAGATACATCTACGTAATATAATTATTGATATACTCTTCCTTGTTTTCTTGAGCGGTTTAAATACCGGAAAAGTGTTTTCATGATTTTAGAGTTATCTTTCATATAATGCTCATGTCTTAGGTTTTTTTTTTCTAAAAGCTACTGGATCTATTCCTGGTATTTTCACATCAAACTAACTTTAGCATATTTTAATTGGTGTTTTACTACTCTACAACAAACTGGCAATTACATAATTATTGAAGAAAATTGTCCTTCGCATAATTAATGCAATAACTCAATTTTCATGTTCATGTACTAGACTATATTTTTGCAATGTCATAGAAGGACGGAAAGATTGATGAAACATACACAAACATTGACGTTTTCAATCATCTTAAAAATGTCTATTAAGGACATTCTTGTTTGTCAGAACAAAATTTTATGAAATCAGCACCAAGAAAGATTATTTCATTGCATTTTATAAAGAAAATTACATTACTTTAAAATGTCAAATTACAGAAATATTATTGATTTTCTGGAGATTGCAATAAATGCTTCCCAATTAAAGTTTCACTTGTCTTAAAGCTAATTTTACAATTTTACAAAATAGATATCAAGAAAATCTGCGTTTGAAATTAAACTAAATAAAATTTAATATGGTTCAGGTGAAATGATTGTAATATTTCGCAGGACACACTCACTATTTTCATCAACAAAACTGGCATACAAACGTATGCATGGTTCTACAGAAAACCTATATGTTAATTAAGAGGGAATTCTTTAACGAAACCTCTTGATGTCGTTTAGTATTTTTGTGTGCTTTGGTTGTTGTCTCTGACCCCCCCCCCCCCCCACCCCCATTATGTCCTTCCATTCGTACGATAGATTTTGAATACTTAGGTCTTTCAAATTTTCCGTGGAAAGACCTTTTGCTTTTGTTCTGATTGGTTCTTTCCACTTTCCGTGGAAAGACCTTTTGCTTTTGTTCTGAATATTTTTTCTTCCGCCAAATTTGTTTCTTTCGCTGTATTGTTGTTTCAAAAGATGTCGCTTAGATATTTGGTTTATGATATACAGTTTATACGCTTTTGAAACTGACCCTGTTTAACCGAACACTTTTCTTTGTAAGAGTTATCTCACCAAACACTGTTTTTCTTGTTCGCACTACTCCTTCGCAACCGTAAAAGAAAGCGACAATTTTTTTTTTACCAAATTGCTCGTTATATCCTCAGAATGTTACGTTTAATTTTGACCGAGGCGTTCCGGAAACTCCATATGAGAGTTATTTCCCTTTCTGTATTTAAAATAAGTGAAAGGTAATTGTAACTAGTAAATCATAGATGATAGAGACCTAGGGTCTTTTGATTTGAGGTCCTGGGTCAACCAAAAAGAAAATGAGGTCATGGGTCAAGGGTCAAGATCATGTTTTATTTTTTTTGCTTTTGCTTGTGCATGCTACTCCTAAGAAATTGTAATATATATCGACAAAAGATTTTCACTAAATTGTTAGTTGCGATCTGTCGTAATATTAACATAACTTATTAACAATTAATAAGTAGAGACCTAAAGTCTTTTGATATGAGATCCTTGCTTGATGACCTTGAAATTGAGGTCAAGGTCATTTGTAAATTTGACGTTCTAGATTTTGACCTTTGCTTTAACTTCATATTTATACATGATTAAGCCATGGGACTTCTTGCACTAGGTTGCACGCCATATGACCTTGAAAAAGCCAACGGAAGTGACCTTGTGTGAACCGGAAGTAGCTATTATTTGTACTTATTTAATGTAAAAGTATATAGAACCATATATTTTTGGAATCAGTGTCAAGTCAACTATCATATAATACCGGAAGTAACATTTTTAAACCGGAAGTAACAAATCATTTCCCTTATTTCAAACAAAAGTGTATAGAAGCCATATATTCTCGGAATCAGCGTACAGTAAGCTATCAACTGGCACTGGAAATAACATTTTAAACCGAATTTTGATATATTTATATCCAAATATATCGTTTCGGGTGGAAATACCTTCAATTGTTCTCTGAACAATTTTGTTTTTAATTGCCCTTTTACTGAGATTAAGATTTCGGATGATTTAGAATTCGGCAATTGATACGGGCGCTTTTCTTTCATATCTCATATAAAATATGAGAAATGGTGTCATAACAGCATCTCATCTGTCGGACTAGGTGTCATACGACCAAGCACATTTCTATACCTGGAGGAATAACAGCGGACTATTGATAATTGTGTGACTGATTATGTCATACCAAAAGATAGCATTGCATTCGCGGGCTACTTTTCATCACAACTGCGATTTGCAAATGTCAACCACAAAGTCGGTTGCATGATTGTTGATACTGTTGGTAACTGAGAGTCCACCATGTCCGAGGTACTAAAAATTAATTCTGTTGATAATCTCAGGAATCAACAGTCCGCCATCACTGATGTCATTAATTTTGTTGATATTTTGGGGACTTATAGTCCATCATGACTAAAGTAATTGATCATGTTGATAATCTAGTGGATGTTCATTATTACCGAGGTTATTTTCTGCTTGAAAATCTCGAGAACTATGAGTGAAATTATGACTGAGGTAATTAATTTTGTTTGTATCACTAGTAACTAACAGTCCTCTATGACTTAGAAAATTATCTCGGGAACTGACAGTCCAACATGACTGGGGTAATTCATTATGTTGATAATATAGAACTACTTACAGTTCATTATGACCGAGGTTATTATTTGTCTTGATGATCTCGGGAACTGTCAATCCAACATGACCGAGGTGATTTATTCAGTTAATAACCTCGATAACTAACAGTCATCCATGACTGAGGTTATTATATATCTTAATGGTATGGTACTGACAGTCCAACATGAATTAACTCTGTAAGTTTACTCGGGGTCTAATAGTCCAACATTTCTATGGTTGTTGCTAATCGTATGAACTATCAATTCATCATGACTGATGCTATTTTTACTCAAGACACACTCAAAGATCCAGTCCAAAACGACCGAGATACATTTGTAATCATGTTGGCACATATTATTTGAATTGTCACAGTCCATCATGACTGATATCGTCAATGTAGTTGACACGTTAGAGGACTCAATCAACAAGACAATTATGCCTGTTGGCAACCTTGTTTACATCCACTTCATTTGAACTTTGTTGGATAGTTGTCTCATTGGCAATCATACCACATCTCCTTATTTTTATATTGTGTACAACGCGAATTTTCTATTTTGACTTTATTGAGGTAACTTGACATCCTTCAGAAATAATAGTCCTGAGGTAATCTATGGACAGGAGTCTAAAGGTCAAATATGACTCGGTAAAAATAGAGGCAGAAATTACCAAAAGGATAATAAAAAATCTTAAAACGACAATATCAAAACTAAAGAGATGAGGTGTGATTGCCAATGAGACAATTATCTACCAGAGTACAAATGACGTGGATGTAAGCAAAGCAAT